TGGCGGGTCCCCAGTGGAGCACCCCACACTAGAGCTGACCTGAATTTCTCTGGACATGTTTTCATGTGAGAGCGTAACAAGCGACTATCTTGTTTAATCTACTGTTATTCTGGGCTTGTCTCTTACGTGTAACCGAACCTACACTTAACTGATATGAACTTAAATCCCCTCATTTTCTGGGGGAAAAATTTGAGATCAGGGAAGCAAGTTAACTGGATAAAGATTACTCAGAGAGTTTACCCAAAAGCTCTGTCTCTCCTAGTAAAACTTTCTGATGATTTGGCCGGGTGTGATGGCTCATGCCTATAATCCCAGCCCTTTGGGAGGCCAAGGAGGGGGTGGATCACCTGAGGTCGGGAGTTCGAGACCAGCCTGACCAACATGGAGAAACCCCATCTCTACTAAAAATACAAAATTAGCCGGGCTTGGTGGTGGGTGTCTGTAATCCCAGCTACTCAGGAGGCTGAGGCAGGAGAATCGCTTGAGCCCGGGAGGCGGAGGTTGCGGTGAGCCGAGATCGTGCCACTGCACTCCAGCCTGGGCAACAAGAGCGAAACTCCATCTCAAAGAAAAAAACAACAACTTTCTGATGACTTTTGTTCATTTCCAATTTAACAAGTATTTCTGGAGCCTGCGCATGCAGGGCCCTGTGGCGCAGTAGTATAGAGCCTGAGCCCCAAGGCCAGACCTGGTTTTTGTTTCGTTTTGCTTGAGACACAGTCTACTGTGCTGTCCAGGCTGGTCTCTAACTCCTGGCTTCAAGCGACCTTCCGCCTCAGGGTCCCAAAGTGCTGAGATTACAGGCATAAGCCACTGCACCCAGCCAAAGCCAGACGTCTTGAATGCCGATCAAGAAATGTTACTCACTAACTGGGAGACCATGAACAATTCCCTAACCTCTGCCTCAGTACCCTCATCTGTAAAATGGGGATAAGGATAGCATCTACTTCTTATGAGGCCGAATACGTTATAGGTAAGTACATGCATGAATAAAGCACACAGGTTAGTTGCTGTGGGCACAGACTCTGGTTCGAAGCTCGACTCTGTCACTAGCTAGCTATGTGACCATGGGCAAGTTATTTAACGTCTTTGTGCTTCTGTTTCCTCACAAGTCAAATGGAGATGCTAGCAGAACTTACAAAGCTGTTTTGTGCTCTGAGAGCAGAGCCTGGCACCTAGGAAGTGCCATGGCCATCATTGTTATTACTGTGTGCTGGTGAGCTTGTACTGAGTGAAGAAGGGACTCACGGGCAGGAGGCTGAGAGGTGAACGGGGAGAGGGACTGGAGAGACGCACAGGAGAAGCGGGTTGACATCGCTGAGAAAGTCACCGCAGGAGTTGCTTTTTTCCAGGCACCACCTCATCTGTATCCTGCGTACTCCTGGCAGAGGATGTTATTCTCCCCATTTTTTAGTGAGAGAACTGAGCACCTGAAAGCTGGGGTGATATGAACAAGACCTCCCTGCCAGTAAGGGTCAGGGCGAGGGTTTGAATCCAGTTCTGTGCGACCCCACGATGGCCATGCAACACGGACCTGCCTTGGGACCTAGCACACCTCTGAGGAAGAAATGTCTCATGACCTCTTCACCGAGCTCACCTCTGAGAACTTGTAGCTCAGAAAGGAACGGGTGATGTGGGCACTGTCCCTCCACTTGCCCTTGCATTTGTCAGTACTCACTGTGTTTGTATTGTTATTTATTTATTTATTTATTTTTTGAGGCAGAGTCTCACTCTGTCACCCAGGTTGGGGTGCATTGGCACAATCTCGGCTCACTGCAACCTCCACCTCCCGGGTTCAAGCAATTCTCCTGCCTCAGCCTCCCAAGTAGCCGGGAATTATAGGCGTACACCACCATGCCCAACTGATTTTTGTATTTTTAGTAGAGACATGGTTTCACCGTTTTGGTGAGGCTGGTCTTGAACTCCTGACCTCAAGTGATCCACCCGCCTCGGCCTCCCAAAGTGCTGGGATTGCAGGCTGAGCCACCGCACCCGGCCTGTTTATATAATTCAGTTTCTGAACCTATCCATCCATTCAACCAGCGCTCACACACAGGTCACTGTGGGTTACCGCTAGGCTGAGATTTTCTGCTTGATTAATAGCTTGCCCTGTGAAGCGTAATGATGCCTTCCTCTTCTGTTTCCTAAGAGAACCTGAAACTGTAAGTCTGAAAGCGTGGCACAGGGAGAACTGCCTCAGTGAGGACAGCTGGCATGACCCTTCCCAGCGCTTCCGTAACATCCCTGGCATTCATGTTACAAGCAAGGGTCACCGCACACCCTGCTTGAGCCAGTTAGCTGGGCCATGCGGACAGAGGCAGCTCTCTCATGACCAGTAAACCTCCTCACAGGAACAGAACCACAGCACCCAGGAGGGCTCAACGTCTCAGGGGACAAGCTCTGGTGAAAGCGGAGCGTGGGAACATAAAATAATAAAAAACTCAGCGTCCCAGACAGAATCTGGGATGGGAAATACGATGATCATCAGAAAAAAAAAAAAAAAAAAAAAAAAAAAAAAAAAAAAAAAAAGCTGGGCAAAATGGCACTGTAATCCCAGCACTATGGGAGGCCAAAGCAGGTGGATCACCTGAGGTCAAGGGTTCGAGACCAGCCTATCCAACACGGTGAATCCCTGACTCTACTAAAAATACAAAAAAAAAAAAAAAAAAGCCAGGTGTGGTGGGGCACACCTGTGGTCCCGACAGCTGCTTGGGAGGCTGAGGCAGGAGAACTGCTTGAACCCAGGAGGCAGAGGTTGCAGTGAGCTGAGACCACACCATTGCACTCCAGCCTGGGCAAACTGTCTCAAAATAATAGGAATAAAATAATAAAAATAAATTTTTAAAAAGTCTTTGAGATTCTGTCCTACACCTTTCTGAAATGCCACAATCTGTCAGACCCCATCTGATGCAGAGGAAGGCACATCAGGACCGCTTTTCCCGGGCACCAAAGCCAAGACCCCCATTCCTTTTTTTTTTTTTTTTTTTTTTTTTTTTGAGACGGAGTTTCACTCTTGCTACCCAGGCTGGAGTGCAATGGCGCGATCTCGGCTCACCGCAACCTCCGCCTCCTGGGTTCAGGCAATTCTCCTGCCTCAGCCTCCTGAGTAGCTGGGATTACAGGCACGCACCACCATGCCCAGCTAATTTTTTGTAGTTTTAGTAGAGACGGGGTTTCACCATGTTGACCAGGATGGTCTCGATCTCTTGACCTCGTGATCCACCCGCCTTGGCCTCCCAAAGTGCTGGGATTACAGGCTTGAGCCACCGCGCCCGGCCTTCCTCCCCTCTTTTGACATGGTCTCCTCTCTGAACCTTACACGTCCCACCTCTGTGCAACACCTCAGTCTCGCCATCTGTAAAATGGGCAGCAGGGACCGAATGAACAGAGCCAGACCCTGTCATAAAACAAGAGAATTTCTCCTCTGTCTGGAATAGAGCTATGTGTATTTAACTACAAAAATAATGTTTTCCTCCCCCACCCGAAGTCTGTGGATGTTCCATAGCTTCTCCCTCAGCTTCTCCTTAAGGTGGGAGCCCTGCCCTTTCAGGGAAGGCAGTGAAAGCCACACCCCTCTCCCCAGTGAAAGGCACACTCACAGCCGCTGTGACCCTGCCAGGCGTGGGCTGCGGTGCCTGACACCCTCTCAGACATGCCCAGGCACCACAAACTGGAGTTGCTCAGAGCTCTCTTCTTTTTTTTTTTTTTTTTTTTGAGACGGAGTTTCACTCTTGCTACCCAGGCTGGAGTGCAATGGCGCGATCTCGGCTCACCGCAACCTCCGCCTCCTGGGTTCAGGCAATTCTCCTGCCTCAACCTCCTGAGTAGCTGGGATTACAGGCACGCGCCACCATGCCCAGCTAATTTTTTTTGTATTTTTAGTAGAGACGGGGTTTCACCATGTTGACCAGGATGGTCTCGATCTCTTGACCTCGTGATCCACCCGCCTCGGCCTCCCAAAGTGCTGGGATTACAGGCTTGAGCCACCGCGCCCGGCCTAAGACCCCCATTCCTAAGCCCTGGCTCAGGTCTCCATCTCTTAAATCCAGTCCCTGAGGAGGCGCCCAGAGCCCTGTTGGGAGCCAGGGACAATGTCACTGTCTTTGGGGTTGACACCTGCTCTGAGTAACTCACGGAAAACAGGGTCCAGCCGGGACGCCCTGAGCCGCGCCCCGTGTCCCCACCCGCGGGCCGCCCTGCAGCGCCGGGGCTCCAGGGCGCGTTAGATGAAGGGGACCCACCCGGCAGGGCCACTGCGGGAAGCCCCGCGCCACTCACCCGCCAGGGACGCCAAGAGCGCGGCCGCCGCGCGGAGCTGCCGGGACATCGCGGGCGCGGGGAAGGCTCTGCGGCGCGCGGCGAGGTCCGGGCAGGCCCCGAACGCCCAGGACGACGCGGCTGCGCTGCGCACCAGCCTGTCCCGGAGACCCGAAGCCGCCCGCTTATGAGGAGCAGCCGAAAAGCCCGCCCCGGGCCGCTGGGCGGGGAGGAAAGTCCGCCGGCCCCCGCGGGAGCGCTGGCGCCCTCCTTCCTCTCGGGGCGGGACCGGCCGGGCCGCGGGGACGTTTCCTTCACGCGTGGGGCCCGGGCAGCGCCGGCCTCTTGCGCTCATCCCCCTGGTCTCCCTTCCTCTCCCCCTTCCGCTTCCCTTTCCCCTTCCCCTTCCCCTTCTACTCCTTCCCTCTCCGCTTCCCCTTCCCCTTCCCATTTCCCTTCCGCTTCCGCTTTCCCTTCTTCCCCTTCCGCTTCCCCTTCTTCCCCTTCTACTCCTTCCCGTTCCCCTTCCGCTTCCCCTTCCCATTTCCCTTCCGCTTCCGCTTCCCCTTCCCCTTTCCTTTTCGGGTTGTGATGGGGTCTCTCTCTGTCACCCAGGCTGGAGTGCAGTGGTGCGATCTCAGCTCATTGCAACCTCCGCCTCCTGGGTTCAAGCGATTCTCCTGCCTCAGCCTCCTGAGTAGCTGGGACTACAGGTACCTGCCACCATGCCCAGCTAATTTCGTATTTTTAGTATAGACGGGGTTTCTCCAAGTTGGTCAGGCTGGTTTCGATCTGCTGACCTCGTGATTGGCCCTCCGCGGCCTCCCAAAGTGCTGGGATTACAGGCGTGAGCCACCGCGCCCGGCTGGGTGTCCTCTTTTCTAACCGCTCAGGTACCTTTCTGGGAACCCGGAGACACTTCTCGGCCTGGAGAAGGCCAGCCCCTCGGTCACTAGGCGAGCAGGAGCCTAAAAACCCCTGAGGACCCTGAATCCCTGTCTTCCCGGGGGTCTGCGGCTGCCGCGCTCCACGCCCAGGCCGCGCTGGGACCGCAGGAGCACAGCCCAGACGCGCGAGGTCTGGCCGCCCCCGCCCCCACCGCGCGCCGACTCCCCCTCGGGAACCTCACAGAGCCTTGGTTTCTTCTGCCATAATAATACCCACTCCCGGGTGTGTGTGTGTGTGTGTGTGTGTGTTTTGAGACAAGGGGTGTGTGTGTGTGTGTGTGTGTGTGTGTGTTTTGAGACAAGGGGTGTGTGTGTGTGTGTGTGTGTGTGTTTTGAGACAAGGTCTCCCTCTGTCTCCCAGGCTGGAGTGCAATGGCGTCATCTCTCCACCTCCCAGGTTCAAGCGATTCTTCTGCCTCAGCCTCCCGAGTGGCTGGGACTACAGGCACCTGCCACCACGCCCAGCTAATTTATTTAAGTAGGGACGGGATTTCAACATGTTGGCCAGGCTGGTCTCAAACTCCTGACCTCAGGTGACCCGCCCGCCGCAGCCTCCCAAGGAGCTGGGATTACAGGCGCGAGCCACTGTGCCCGGCCCCAGGTGGTTTTACAAACCAGAAATTCCGGGAACAGGAAACACTCAATATCTTTATTTTATTTATTTATTTATTTTTTGAGTCAGGGTCTCGCTCTATCACCCACGTTGGAGTGCAGTGGCTTGATCTCGGCTCCCTGCAACTTCAACCTCCTGGCCTCAAGCGATTCTCCCACGTAAGCCTCCGGAGTAGCTGGGACCGGAGTAGTGGGTGCCACCATGCCCAGCTATTTTATGTAGAGAGGTCGTCTTGCTGTGTTGCCCAGGCTGGTCTCGAGTTCCTGGCCTCAAACGATCCTCCCGAGTTAGCCAGTCATTGGGATTACAGGCGTGAGCCACGGCCCAAGGCTCAATATCGTTGACAGGCAACCTTTTAATGCCTTATTGGACTATCTGTCCGGGCTTGAATCCCAGTGGGGAATACACATTTAGGCAGTATATTAGGAGATGCTCCTTAACACTAGATTGAGGGCTTTCAGCCTCAACCATTTCCTGAAAAGTCTCAAATCATTTCCTGAAAAATAACTTTGACAACTATTTTATCTTACTGCATTGCTCCAAACACTCTAATCAAGTAATCTTAACCAAAGCTTGTAGTGTGTTTCAGAATGGAATTTTTACAGTGAAAGGTGAAGGTTAACCTGTGCCAATCAACCTAATTTCAGTAACCATCCGCTTTCTGATCTTTGAGTCAGTTTATTCAAAAGACAATAATTAAGTAGATATATACTGTGTGCCAGGCACTCTTATTTCGTTTAAGCGCCCGCCATAGGCGCTCTACGCGGACACTGTTGTTATTACTGCTGCCCCATGTTGTAGATGGAGAAACTAACCACAGAGAAGGGAGTTGCCCAGGGTCAGTTAGATAATAAATACGGAAATGGGGCCATGAATCCTGTCTGCCTTGAGAGTCCAGGATTTTAAGCACTATGCCTTACTACTACTGAACAGGTGTTCGTGACTAGAATATAATATGCTTTTAAGTTGCTTACTGCCTCGTTGAGAGACATTTATTAATATACAACAATATGGAGAGAGTGATTGATGGACTGTTTGCTGCTCAGAGCCACCCTAGATGAGGAATGGGACATTCAAAGGAGATGACTTCATGGTGGTTGGCTCTCCAATCTTGTTCTTCTTCAGCATTGTTTTGGCTATTCTAACTTCTCTGCATTTCCATATTAATTTTAGAATCATTTTGCCAATTTCTACCAAAAATCCAACTGAGATTTTTATGAGGATTGCATTAGATCTATATGTAAATTCAAGAAGATTTGACATCGCAACAATATTGAGTCTTCTAGTGAAAAATATGGTATATCTCTCCCTTTATTTAGGTCTTCTGTATTTTTTTCCAGATTTCTTAACTATTCTTTTGAGTTTTGCCCTAAGTATTTCACGTTTTTGATGCTATTTTAAAAATTTATTTTGAGACAGAGTTTTGTTCGTTGTCTTCCAGGCTGGAGTGTAGTGGCGTGATCTCGACTCACTGCAACTTCTGCCTCCCAGGTTCAAGCCGTTCTCCTGCCTCAGCCTCCCGAGTAGCTGGGACTACAGGTGTGTGCCACCATGCCCGGCTAATTTTTTGTATTTTAGGTAGAGACAAGGTTTTACTGTGTTAGCCAAGGTGGTCTCGATCTCCTCTCCTCGTGATTCGCCTGCCTCAGCCTCCCAAAGTACTGGGATTACAGGCGTGAGCCACTGTGCTCAGCAAATTTTATAACAACATAGCTTAAAAGACAAACACATTGTATGGCTGTATAAAAATATTTTCTCTATATTCTGTAAGTTTTTTTCTATTTTAATGATTTTTTAAAACCTTCAAAACTTTTTTTTGTTGCTGTTAAAAACAAAGACACACACACACACACACACACACACACACACACACACACACGTCTAAGCCTACAGGGCATCAGGATCATCAATTCTCTGTCTTCCATCTGTACATCTTGTCCCACTGGAAGGTCTTCAGGGCAATAACACCCATAGAGTGGTTGTCTCCTGTGATAAAAATGCCTTCTTCTCTCCTGAAGGACCTTCCTGAGAGTGTTTTAATTTTTTTTTAAGTAGGAGGAATAAACTCAAAGTAATGACAAAACACAATATAGTAAATATATACACCAGTAACATAGTTGTCTATCATGCATTGTACGTAACTGTATGTGCTACGCATTGTACGTAACTGTCTGTGCTA